TGCTCCTCCATGTTGCTGCATGCCTGCAGTCTCTCTCTGCGTAGCGCTCTGTGTCCTTTCATACTCACTGTGCTTTGCCCCTCTTCTCTCCATCCGACAACACATGGGACGGACAGACCCCACCTCCCCGATACAACCCCCGCTGTCCCACTCTCTGCCGCTGCACTGATCTGACAGTCTGTTTGCACAATCCCGTTCTCCTAAATCTGAGGCATCATACACACCACACTCAGTATCATCTCTTACTGCTGTCTCTGTTCATCACACCGCTCACACACATCCCTCTGGTACTTTATAGGCTGCATGTGATACTCAGTATGAACAAATAAGTGAAGAGGAAGGGGGGGGGGAAAGGAAATAAATATGTCACAGGGACCATAACACGATCGTCAACCATCCGGCAGGCAGTACCCTGCACGGAGCGAACCAGTGCTACGGATCAATACATCCTATTGAGTTTAATCTACAACTGATGCTGTGCCCTTCCTATTAAAGTAGGCTTCACTCAGTTGGTGTCACAATCAGTATATGAGAAACGAGAAAATTATCTTTCAATAGCATGCGTAATGAATGCTAGTGGTTACTTGTGTGCATTTATCTGAACATCTCAATTACCACCTGTCACCTTGATGCAATGCCATTACTTGACATGAATGACAATTTTCTGGTTGTGCCATGTTACTCTCTTCTTTTATTTTCTTGTTCGTGTGCTTTTTTGCCCAATAGGGGGAAGTCCAGTAGCCTCGTGGCCTAATTCAATTCTCGAGGACAGTCCTAAAATAGACACTGATCCACATACCTTAGGATGCATTTAAAGTCGGAGTTTAAAGCATATTAACACTATGTGTCTGTGTGGCTGATGAAAGGATCTGAAAGGTTCTCCATAGGCCTTTGCTGTACTATCAGGAGACATGAATTTCTAAACCAGGATTAGTATTTGAGTGAATGAACATTGATTCTTCTTCCATCCAAATGATTTAGATACATTTGGATCAAACTGCATACCAAATCAGTTCGCCAAACATATATTTAACACAATATGCAAAAACAAACATTACAATTCTGCCTGCCAAGATTTCTGGCTGTGACTGCAAATACTACGCCCAATAATGAAGAGAGCAGTTTGCCTACTGTCTCCTACATTTTCATCTTGCACAAGCTTCCTTTTGCAGGATTACATCTATTGACTCATAACAGTGGTATTCAGATGAATGTGAACAAAGATTGAAAGACAGTGAGGGCTATTTTAGATAATTTGAGAGACACTCAGTGATGAAGATAGCAACTTCCCCGAGGGGTGTGATTAACCCGCTGTCTGATGAGGACACAGGAAGGTGCCAACCCAGCCGTAACTAAAGTGACTGCAAAGGAACAATGACAAGCCAAACATATGAGCTCAGTGAGGGACATGGGGCAATTATTGCAGCCACACACTTGCTATCTTAATTCTTTGGGCAACTGGTTTCTGTTTAGACAGGTCATACTCCAACAACACAAAGTCAGCAGGGATTGGGCTCCAGCTGGTAATGTGGCCAGTCAGGACAAGAAACAGAAACAAAGCTGCACAAGCAAAGATGAGGACGAAAACAAACACATGGCCATTGTTAGGATAAAGGGAGGAAACAAACACATTTACCTAGCCTTTTCAAATGATATTCCCAAACATTTTTCCCTTTTTAAGTTTGTTACTGTAAAGGGTTAAGGGGTTAACAGACACAGTCATATTCTTGAATGACTTTGGATGTAAAGTCAAAGGAGGACACGCAAGTGAATACCTTGAGAATAAAATGCCACACTGGGAAGCCAGACATCAAACTTGTCCTTTTTGCATAGCGAATTAATAAAGACCTTCTAACAAACAATTTTATATGAAACTGAAACTCGCTCAACACTACAATAACTTCAATTAACGGTGCTGTGACGAATTTCTGCGAGGAATTGCACATTCAAACAGTTACAAACATACAGGTAGTCTATACTACAGCTATAAATATATGTCAAAATATATGGATGTTTTAGGACTACTTTAGGGTTTGATGACAAGCCTATAATAGAGCTTTTCACAGCAAAACATTTGACCTGTCATTGTTGGGAAAACACAGGTTTAGTATATAACATCAATGACTAGTGTTAACTGGTGTCATTGTACTGTGCTGGAATAGCTTTACGGTGACACTAAATGGAACCTAGGCATTCTGTAATCAACTTTACTTGTTAAAAATGTATAAAATCGAATAACAAATATTTGCTGTTCATGCTTTTTGTGTGTGGTAGGCCTAAAATGCTCTTGCAAGTTATAGGATTGTAAGCAATGGGTTTGAGGCATAGACTGTATATATAAAGGTGGAGGGTACATGTGGGTGAGCATGCGCAGTATGTGTAGACGTTGTTGTGAAGTGGACTCGACAAACGGAGGCGCTGTCTGTGACGCTACTGACGTGCCTGAGTTCCTGAGTTCGTATTACACAGTAGAAGCCCCAATATCTCGGACAGTTACAATATTATACAAGGCAGTCAACAAGTCTCGTTGGCACTGGTTATGAAAAAAAAACACAGTGTGGTTAGCAAATGCAAAACACCATATACTGCTGTGGTGTTTTCTGAAATGCTGTAGTGTTTTGTGAAATGCTGTGGTGTTTTCTGAAATGCTGTAGTTGTTTTGTGAAATGATGTGGTGTTTTGTGAAATGCTGTAGTAGTGTTTTCTGAAATGCTGTTGTGTTTTCTGAAAGGCGGTGGCATTTTCTGAAATGCTGTTGCGTTTTGTGAAATGCTGTTGCGTTTTGTGAAATGCTGTTGTGTTTTGTGAAATGCTGTAGTGTTTTCTGAAATGCTGTAGTGTTTTCTGGAATGCTGNGTGTGCCTTGGCAGTCTCAGTTTTGTGAAATGCTGTTGCGTTTTGTGAAATGCTGTTGTGTTTTGTGAAATGCTGTAGTGTTTTCTGAAATGCTGTAGTGTTTTCTGGAATGCTGTTGTGTTTTGTGAACATTTGGAATGTCCCACACCTGCATACTGAAGTATTATTTGAATTATTTGAAGTATTAAAGTAACGTGTTATGGCAGGAAAGTTCAATCTGGTATATTCATTTTAATGTCACCTTATATAGAATGTGTGTTAAACTTGTGATTTCTGCATTGAGTGACTTCTGCCTAGCAGATACCAAGAAGAGGCCCCTAGGGTCTCTCTGTTAATTATCAATAGGGGAATTCCCAGATACATTTTCAGATATAAGGCAGTTAAAGTCTTGTAGAATTAATGATTTATCTCCTACAGACCCCAAAAGAGGCCTTGAGACTTGGGTCACCCAGCAGTAAANAAAACCCGTATTGATTAGCCCAAAGGGAGATGTGCCTCAGATACAAGACAGTTGAAGCCTTGTAGAATTAATGATTTATCTCCTACAGACCCCAAAAGAGGCCTTGAGACTTGGGTCACCCAGCAGTAAACGAGATAAACGTCCTTTTGAGCTTATCAATAAAATGTATTCATTCCTAGTAAGCTGACTTTGGGTGAAGGGAAGTTCAGGGAAGCCATTAAGCGATAAGAACAATTAACTTCTGTTAAAGATACATGATAGGATGTTTGTGTGTGTTGAAGATGTTTAGGGGGAAGGAGTATGTGTCCTGTCAAAGAGTCCTCTGTCATGACTCCAAATCATTGATTGGGGGATCTGCCTAAGGGCAGAAGGACAGAAACACACACACACACACACATACACATACACTGTGAAGCAACAGATGGAATCAACAAACTGACTTACTACCTGGGATCCCGGGCGGGATCCCAGGTAGTAAGTCAGTTTGTTGATTCCATCTGTTGCTTCACAGTGTATGTGTATGTGTGTGTGTGTGTGTGTTTCTGTCCTTCTGCCCTTAGGNGTCGGATTGACAAACAACTTTAAGGTGCATACCGCCCCTCCAGAGTCGGCTTGTACTCGGTTTGCATTTATAAAGAATGCACAAATGTGTTTAATCGTTAATGTCAGATATGTAGGCTACTAAGTAAATACATTTGTTCCTGCTCAAGATTAGATTAAACTTTATTGTTCTTAGGGATGTCCCGATCACCTTTTTTTGCTCCCGATCCGATTCCGATCATTTGATTTTGATAATTTGCCGATACCGATTCTTCCCGATCCGATCTTTATGCAATGCATTAAGAGAAAAAAAGAAAAAAAGCATTCAAGTTGTCCCTTACGGTTATTTTTTTAATTTAAATTAGATATTCTATCCAACATGGATATAGCTTCTTTTTTTCACAGCAGCATTGGATCAGTTCAGTTGTGCAGCATTGGATCAAAACAAAATAAAGCTTTAAGTACTCGTTAGTTTACTGCTACAATTAGACACTGCACCCTGCCCACTCTGTTGCCAGATTTGAGAGAAATAAGTAACCAGGTCTATGAAAACAAGCCCCAAAGAAGCAACACATACATGATGTTGTGCAATTTGAAACCAAAACTAAGTCCTCAGGATGACTTTAAGACTTGAACATGGTCATTTTTGTTTTGTAACATTGAATACAACATTTTTAAAAAGTATTAAAAAAAAAAAAAATCCCGATCACCGATTTTTTCCCCCCGATTCCGATCTTTTGAAAATCACGTGATCGGCTCCGATCCCCGATCACGTGATCGAATCGGGACATCTCTACTTTTAAGTCCTCAGTCCATCAGTTTTTATGGATTTTAATCACTGGCTTTACTAGCTATTCGATTAGCTCCTATTGTGCCACTTCCATTCATTATTGCTGATTTCTCCAAATGAAAAGCTCTATCTTAGCTAAGATTATTAAAACGACAGATACTTTTATAAAAATCAGATATTTCCTATATTTTTGGCTGTAAAGCTCAATATAAAGTAGATTTCTCTTCATATTCCTTATTCTTGTATCAAAAGATTCTGCTCCTAGATTTGAATGACTGTTTTCGTTTTGATGTAATCCACTTGTATTCACAAGTACAGCAGTTTTCAATCATGATTTGTGTGTCTTCTTGTCTCCGTTTGTGTCTGCCTGCAGCAAATGGAGCGGTTCAAAATAGTGGAGAGAGAAACCAAGACGAAGGCGTACTCTAAAGAAGGGCTGGGTCTGGCCCAGAAGGTGGACCCCGCCCAGAAGGAGAAGGAGGAGGTCGGCACGTGGCTAACGGTGAGGATAGAATAGAATCCTTTATTGTCATTATACAGGTACAATGAGATAGTAGAACTGGACCTCAATGTACCCACTTTAATGCAACTAAAGGACACTGTCTCTTTAAAAGAGGAGAGGTGACTTCACTCCTAACTAGTGCTGGGTCTTTTAACAAAACCTGGAACTGAAAGTAAAATACAAGTGGAAAATAGACAAAACACTGTCTTAACTTTCACAAAGACTGACAACCGTATTAACCAGCAGCCTCTTGCATGAATACATGGCAGCTGTTAATGGTTCCTACATAGAGTTAACTCGTTTTAAAACCATGGTGAGGTATTAGGACATACCGTAATGTGAAGGGAGAGTTACTCATTTATAGCGTAAATATGTTTTTCTACATTTTTAAAGTCCAAACATTGAATTGATAAACCCATAAAACAAATAGACAGAAAGGAAAGAATCGTTCGTTAAATTGATACTTATGTATATAATTATGATTTGTGTATCTTAAGCTGCTAACGAATGGTTGAACAATTTGAATGATAAACCAATGAAGCGCCTTGTCCAACCATTGGTTATCTCTTCCTCCTGTTCTCCTCCAGAATACGATAGACACGCTGAACATGCAGGTGGACCAGTTCGAGAGCGAGGTGGAGTCCCTCTCAGTCCAGACCAGGAAAAAGAAAGGGGACAAAGAGGTGGGTCCTTCCTCCCCCTCTGATCTCTTTATCATCTGTCTTCTTTTTCTGTGTATAGCTGACCCAGGTACAGTCAGTCAGACCTCTCTCCTCTGTTATCCCTCTGTGCTGGGGAGGTCACACAATGTGTCCTTTCACTTTCACTCTCCGAGGGCCTCATTTATAGCAAAAACTGATCTGGCTTTATAATGGACGACAGGGCATTTGAAGAGCGGCACTCGTACCTCCTACCTGCAGTGACACAAAGATTGTTACGTCACTGAAATGATTCTTTATGGCATCAAATGACATTCACTGTAATTGGCAAAGGACTTTTTGTTATATAAATGCCTCTGTTACTGGTATAGTTAGCTATATCTTCAAATGCTGAAATGGGTTTCTGGTTTTACACACAGGCTCTAAAATGAGACCAATAAGGGCAAAAGAAAAGGAAAAAAGTTACATTTGTCTTTTCATGAATGCTTTTCTCAAAGTCTTTTTCTTTGATCTGGCGTTGAGGATGAAGCATGCAGAAGGAGATATACAGGGACTCCACATCTACACCTTTTCAACCTCCATCTTATTTGAGTGTCCGCATTACTTGAAAGGGTAGTTCACATAGTTTGAAGTGGTGTTGTGTGAGGTCACTATCCTTAGTCTTAGATTTGGAGAAGCTAAAGTGAGTTGCAGCACATTGCGTTCAGCAGTGTTCTTCTGTGCACAGGGGCAGAAGCTGGCCATCTTTTAAGCCACCTAAAAGGATATATTAACTGATGTGTCTTTACCATTTCATATATCTGATCTCTCTTCAAAGCAACCAGACTCCACTGAGACCAAACGGTTCTTTTGGCTTGCAGGAGCAACACTCGATCACTTTGTTTGTCTTCTTGTGTGACCTTGGTGTATTAATGGATTAGTTCTGTTTGGCAAAAGTCACACCATAACAACCTCTATCCAATGATTCAATCACAATTCTTTCAATGGAGTCTGGTTGCTTTGAAGAGAGCCTGACAACTAGGGAATCATTAAGATTTGAACGGTACTACTACTTTTAGCTTTGATTAAGGCAGTCGAAATCTCCGCATGTCTCCGTCTGAATATGGAGCAATTTCACCAGATCTTTGAAAACACCTGTTGGTCCCTTTCAGAAAGGGGAGTTCGAGCTGTGTTATTTTAAATAAAAGTACAAATATAGATAAACGTTTGGCGGCAACTTGGTTGGGCTGACCTCTACCGACTGTAGAGTACTGTGTTATACAACCCCACTGCAGAACATCCCTTTAATGTTGGACCCACTGTGACATTGGGACTTTAGACGTAGCCTTTCAGAGCCCGCATGTATGCACTCAGCACAGAGACGTCCCCATGTCCCTGACATGTGCTGGGGCAGCATTCATATATATTATGTTGAATGACATGAATCTGTTCCACTCGGCTGCCTCCACTAATGCAGTCCAGCTGCAGCCCAACAGCGCAAAGTGCTGGAGCCGATGTGTTACTATAATCACATCAGTTCAGCCAGTGACCATAAGAGCTCCACGTGTTCCTGTTCTTTAGGTTTCATCCCACAGAAACACCCAGATAGTGTTTTAGATTTGTCAAAAAAACTTGCATAAAAAGCTTAATTAGAGAAAAAGGCTAAACTTAATACAGAAAACTTGTCAAAAAGCTTTCGGACATGTGTGAATGAACTATTGAAATCAGAAGTGGTTCTGTGATTATTTGTCAATTTCATGATGCATAAAGTGAACATGTAACCTAGGGGTGCAACAACTAATCGACTTAATCGATTAAAATCGATTACCAAATTAGTTGCCAACTAATTCAGTCGTCGATTCGTTGGTGACGTCATCACGTGTGTTTTACGCGCCGTTAAGCTCCAACGTTATTGGTCTTTTTATCGGTACTGGAGACATTTAAAAAAAAATATGTCATGTATTATTGCTACAAAAACCTTATATCGCAGTCTTAGTGTCGCCAACTCGTTTCTAACATGCAAAAAGACAAACAAATGCGTCTATCGTGTATTTTTGATCAGACGAGATCTCTCTCCCCCGTCTGTGTGCGAGGGGGCGGGGCAGTTTACACACACACACGCAGCTGCTACATGCAGCAACACACTGCGGAGATGGCGGAGAGAACGCGCTCCGAGGTGTGGCTCAACTTTACCCGTCTCGATGTGGACAATGCTCGTTGCCTAAAGTGCAATAAGTGTTTAACATGTAAGGGCGGTAACACGAGCAATTTGTCTAAACATTTAGCAAAAGGGCACCACATCCAGACGGAGGAATGCACCGGGTTCGACTGTCTTTCTAGTAGCTCTGTAGCCCCATCCACGAGTAACGTTTCCACCTCAGGTGTTATGTATGCTAGCAGCAACACATGGAGTTAACTCAGTTATAAAAACATAGGTTAATAATTAGAGGTAACTGAGTTATTTAGTTTGTTAAAGTTTCAGCTATTCTGTTTACAGTTCTGTCATCACATTATTTAATATGATTTGTTAAAACACTGTTGTTTCTTTTGATGGGAAATATTATTGATTTAATTTAGATAAAAAGCAATGTTAATTTTGTTCAAAATGTGTTAAGTTAATTTAATAATATATATATATATTTGAATCAAGTGTTCATCTTTATTGTCCCCGTTCAACCTCTTTTGCCTATACCGTCTAAGTCTAAAGTGCCGTAGTACTACTAGCCAGTCATTCGAGTACTGTTTTTACGAGATAACGTCTTTGTATTTAAGTGCGCGGAGGAGGAATTCGTAATGGTACGCCGATTCCCGAACTGTTGCCTTATGTCTAGTGTACCAACCGTAGTTTTCTTTCGGTTATGAACGACAGGAGGGTTATTAACGCTGTGTAATTTTAACCCAACCAGAAAGGCCGCGGCCCTCCTTCTTTTGCCCTCGACGAGTCGCCTGGCGACGGTTTCACGATCGTGGCTTTTTTCGTCGTAATGTTAGTTATAGTGCGTATCGTCTATCTCGGGCTTAACATTCACGGACAGGTCAAACCCCTCCCTGCCGCCGATAACCGGAAAAAAAACTTAGTTTTACGACTAACGATCAAGCAACAGTGGAATGGTTCCTCGGGCATGATCGCTCTGCATGAACACCGAAGACTTGTTGCGAAACAAGTACTCAATAACGTAGGCCACCACTTAGACTTAGACTGGTTATAGCCAGCGTTTGAAATGAGTTGAGCCACTCCCCCGACAGTTTGAGCTGGGATTGCGGCGAATGTCGGCCGGTTGATTTTCACGAACAGGCAAGTGGCAACGAGTAAAAATCTAAAGGAAACGAAGAAACGACACTTAGGTTTTCGACGCTCCCGTTCCGACAAAAGCAAAACGGTTATAAAAAATAGTGTTTCGGTCTCGGACCGTAGCGGACGGCATTGGTATCGGTTGCATTCTCGGCATCTCTTACGGGTCGCGGCGGTGCGATGTCCCTACCCGTTGTGGGTCTTTCATAAGTGGTTTATATTTCGTTTATAAGTGCTTTGACGATCTACTGGTTATTTTGATATAAATAAAGTCTTTGAAAATAAATGTCTTTGAGTTGTAAAGATTGAGACACACTGTGTTATACGTGCTAACCAAAACCGCGGAGGGGATAAATAGAAGTTCAGCCCGGAAGTCCGCGCTCGAGGGAAGGGAGAAGCCCCCTCGGTTCGAGGGGGATCGAAGTGGAAAGCTTGTCGACGATCACCGTATCCTTTAATTTCTCGATCAAGTGTTGTCTGCAATTGTACTAAGCACCACTTTGTGACGATTATGATCAGTTATATAAGGGTGTTAAAATACCTTTCCGAGGGGACGGGTTCGGAGTGTAAACCATTGTATTTAGAGCACGTTCCATAGTTGTCGAGACCACTATGTCACGGTTCCGACCCACGGCGCCGCGTCAGCTACTGTACTAAAAACATCTATACTGAACCTTCATTCGATCGGTACACGATGGAGCTAGTGATTACAATAAATAAATTTATTGATCCGGTGTCCCACCCCACCTCCCCCAGACCCTCCCAAAACCCCGACTGTCCGGGTTTTCGTGTCGCCTCCCTGGGCACTTTCCCTAGAGCCCGCCTGCCGGGCCCCCGGTTCCGTCTCAGGTACACACCCACAGCCCCGTCTCCGAGCCCGTTCCAGTCCGGTAGCCACCCGCAGAGCCCGCCTGCCGGGCCCCAGAGTTTCGGTCAATCAGGTACTAAACCGCTTCTGAGTGTTGCCGTTTGAGTCACCGGCTATTACCTCCCACTTACGTGCCGTCTTTCCCAGTCCCCGGCCCGGGCTCTGCTTCGGGCGCCGTGAGTCCCCCGGCCCGAGCTCCCGCTCTGGCGCCGAGAGTCCCCCGGCGCCGAGCGTCCCGGTTCTGGTCTGTCGAAGACCTCCGCGCCCGTCACTGGCCAAGCCGCTTGTCCTTGGGCCTCGTCACCCCCTGTCCCGAAGCCGTCTAGGGTGCCTTCTCCTTGTCCTCCACCGTCCTGGGGGGCGCTCTGTCCATACCGCCTCGGAGGTTGCCTTTGTCCGTTCCCCTAACCGTCCTGGGGCCGTCTCTCAACAGTCGCCCTAGGGGTCCTTGTCCTGTATCCTACCGTCCCTGGGGGCCGTCCTCTCATCAGCCGACCTGGAGGTTTCCTGACCTGTACCTCGACGTCCTTGGGGTCGCCTTGGAGGTTGCCGTGTCTGTATCCCAACCGTCCTGGGGCGTCTTCTCATCAGCGCCCTGGGGTTGCCGTGTCCTGTACTCCCACCGTCCTGGGGCCGTCCTCTCATCAGCCGCCCTGGAGGTGCCGTGTCCCTGTTATCCCAACCGTCCTGGGGGCCGTATTCTCATCAGCCGCCTGGGGTTGCCCTGTCCTGTCCTCAACCGTCCTGGGGCCCGTCTTCTCATCAGCCGCCTGGGGTGCCCTGTCTGTATCCCAACCGCCCGGGTGCGTCCTACGCTGTACCCGACGGGTTGAGGTACAGGACAGGGCAATCCCAAAAAAGTGCGCTTGATGAGATAGACCCCCGGACGGTGGGACACAGGACACGGCAACCTTAAAGGCGGGACCCCGCAGGACGGTTCAGATAAGGACAGGCAACCCCAGGGCGGCTGATGAGAGGACGTCCACAGCACCCGCCTCTGGGGATTACGGTATGACCACACAGGTGCGCCTAGATCACCTCAAGGTCCAGTGGGCGGCGCTCGTATGCAGAAGACGCCTCGCTCAGCCGCCCTGGAGGTTCCGTCGCTACCTGTACGTTTACACCCAAACCGTCCTAGCGAGCGCAAGCTCTCCCAGTCGCGCGACGAAGGCCTCCCCATCAGACCCGCTCCAGCGTTGAGCAGAGTTACGAGGCCCATACCTCCTTGCGCAGGAGCCCTCAAGTGTCCTGGGGGCCGTCTCTCTCGTCAGCCGCCCTGGGGCTGATGGAGGACGGCCACCCAGACGGGTGGATACAGACAGGCAACCCCAGGGGCCGCGCCTATAGGGGAAGGTTAGCACCGCGCGCCGTCCTAGGACGAGTCGAGCCAAGGACAGGTCGGCATGAGCGCGCGGCAGGGCGGCGCCTGGAGAGACACTACTCCATGCCCCACCGGACGTCCGCTGACGTAGCAGACTATCGGCCCATACCTCTGTATCTCAACCGTCCTGGTCGAGAGGGCGACACCCCCCTGAAGGTTGCCCGTGTCCCTGCCACCGGACAACCGTCCGTCCCTGGGGGCCGTCTTCTAATCAGCCGCCCCTGGACGGGGTTGCCCTGAGATCCCAGTGTATCCACCTCGAACCGTCCTGGGCGGACAACCGCTCTATTCGATATCAAGGACAAGGCCGCACCGCGCGGGTTGCCTGTCCTCGTACCCCAACCGATCTGGGACACTCATCCATCATAATGGCAGACCGTGGAGCGTATGGCCCTGTCCTTACCTCTAAGGGTGTCTAGGAAGCCCGGCTCTCGTCAGCGCCTGGAGGTTCGTGTCCTGATGGTCCAACCGTCCTTGGGGGGCCGTTCTTCTCATAAGCCGACCCTGGGGGGTTGCCCCTGTCCTGTAATCCCAGCCGTCCTGGGGGCCGTCCTCTCATCAGCCGAGCCCCTGGGTTGCCTGTCCTAGTATCTAAACCGTCCTGTGGGTCGACCTTAAGTTGCCGTGTCCGGGTCCCCAAACCGTCCGGGGGCGTCTTCTCATCAGCCGCCCTGGAGGATTCCCTGTCCTGTACCTCCAACCGTCCTGGGGGTCGCCTTGGAGGTTGACCAGTGAAACTTCACCCCTGAACTCATCCCTGTCTCTTCCCTGAGCTCATACCCTGACCTCTCCCCTGAAACTCTACCTTGAAGCTCTCCCTTGAACCTCTCCTCCTGAGCTACTCTCCGATCTCTCTCCCGAACTCTCCCTGAGCCTCTCCACCTGAACTCTCCTTGAGCTCTCCCTGAGCTCTCCCTGAGCTCTCCTCTGAGCTCTCCACTGCAACTCTCCACTGAACTCTCCCTAGAGCTCTCTTGACTCTACCCTGGACGTCTTCCTTGAACTCTCCCCTGAGCTCTCCCTGTAACTCTCCCTTCGACCTCTCCATGAACTCGGCCGACCATAGCGGCTGTCCTTAGTCCCCTCGACCGCAGGCCGACCTCTGGTTGTCCTCTGCTCCACGACCTCAGATCCCCGAAATTGTTTGCTGATTAACTATTAGCTAATTAGAAGCTAATATACTTAGCTATTACTGATCAGTTGAAAATGATACGAATTTCACGTTTGCGAGAATAAATTGTGTTGAAAATAATCGATAAAAATGTACA